GGAAAAAAAAAAAAAAAATGCCTGAGATTTTCAGGGTAAAATATATGTGTGGGAGCAATTTTTGGTGTGTCGAAAAAGAGAGGAAGTGGGCGAATTTTATTGAAGTAGTTCTAAGTTCCCCAAGTTTGCTTTTAATAGGGCAGAGAAAGGCTTAAAAAAAATAAATAAAAAAAAAAAATTAGTGAAGCAAAAGATACGTGAGGCGAAGAATATGACTTTTTATGTTGGTCGGGTCTTGTAATTTATTCCTTTTGCACTTTTGTTCTCTTCTATATTATATTTATCGTTCCGAAAAAAAAATGACTTTTGATATGGGCGAAATAAGTTGTCACAAAAGGTCAAAATAGGAGACCTTTAGAGATACAAAGTATGCATCTTTATGGACATCTAATGCATGTGTTTGATGAGTTAATATTCACTTAATCTAACCCACAACAAAGTCTAATGAATTTACTGTGACAAAGGAAAATATTTAATCTCGGCTCCCTAATTTGGGTGCATTGAAACAAAATTTGAACAAGAGTTGTGGAAAAAAAAAAAAATAAAAAGATTTATTAATAGGGAGGGATTGAAAAATTTTAATAATAAATTAAGGATGAGAGAGATAGAAGAAAATAAAAAAAAATAAAGAATAATTAACGGTATATAGTATAGAAAACGGAATAAAACATATGGAACTTCTTAATTAGGGTTAACTCGTTGGTTTCGAAGTTGGCTACTGGCGGACTCTAGGGGATCAAATATTTATTTTTCTAATATACAAATATATCTACATAACTAAAAAAATAAATTAAAAAAACAGCCTCTTCTAGTTCAAACTCTACCTCCTTCCTCCACTGAGTATGTATATATATTTGTGGGGAATGCTATGGTCTCGTTACGGAATCATTCCATGGGAGTTTGTAATCGTTAGATCATAATGTAATCGTCGAGATAGTTGACCTAATGGTTATAAACTTCGATGGAATAGTTCCGTAACGAGACCGTAGCAGCTCCTATATATGTATATGTATATGTATATATATTCTTGAAATTTAAGGATTTCAACTACTCTTTTTTTATGATGTCTTAAGAAATAGTTTATGTCTCAAAACCTATCATACCGTTCTCGCTCCAGATCGGTCTTCAGATTGCTGCATCGATCTCCTCTCACATTTGGATAGAGTTGGACGATGTTGTTGTTATCACTCTTTTGACCACTGGCCATCAGGGCACATGACAGATTCAGCATTCGCTCATGCGTATTAGAGGCACTCTGCGGTCGATTCGGTTTCAGATCTCGCACATCTTCCGTGAAGGGAACCGTCCTGCTGATTTACTCGTAGGCATCGGGTCCTCCACCCACAGAGGCGCATACTTTATCCTAGCGATATTCCTCTCCGCCTCTGAAAATGAACTCTGAAAATGAACATTAACTGAAAATAAGCCTTAACTTTCGAATCTTATATTGTCAACTAACATTATGGTGAAGGAATTATCAATAGTCAAAAGTACAATAAACACAATAAAAAAATTGTTATATTTCAACAGGGTGTAGATTGGGCCTTGAAATAATGGCTTGGGCCTAGCACTGGACTGGGCTAGGCTTGAGCAATTGAGCTCAAGCTAGTTAGTGATAGATATATAATAATATGTAAGAATGATATAATTCGTTGGCCAAAGTACAAGTCTAGACCAATATAATCTTACCTAAAGTACACATATTGATATGACATATCTTAACCTCTAAAGAATTCTCTTGTTTGAGAGTTCCTATATTCATTTTTTGAGAGTTCAATTCTGTCATGTGAGTGTAGTCCGTCTTAATCACTGTTAGTGTTGTTCTTTTTCTGGGGTTAGGGCTCCAGTTCTGTGTTGGAGGTGTGTTTCAACTCTCGGGGTCTTCTTTTGTTTGGCTTTGTAGAGTTGTGCTTACAGCTCAAAGTAGTGTCAATATCGATTGGGGCTACTAGATGGAACATGTTTGAGAAAAAAGTGGAACAAAGATTGAAGAGTTTCTCCTTATTAGAGAAGGAGATTATGGAGATTGAGAACAATTAATTTTCGAAAATCAATACTTGATCCTCCATGAACAGGAAGACGGGCTCATCAATGAAAAGCATCCCTTCTTCGATGAACTGACTATCTAGGTCTACGTATTTAATGTGCCTCTAAACTGGCTATATGCGCTATGTGCGGATGTTGGACTTAAAATAGGAAAGCCTTTCAAATGAACAAAAAATAAAATATTAATTTTATTTTGGATGTTCATTTTCATCACTTTTACATATCTCAAAAAAATATTGTGACAGTTCGTTTCTGACAGCCGCAACCCAATGTTTTTTTTATTATTATTTAATTTTATTTGTTGTAGAGTTCGGTAAGTAATATTAAATAGTATATTTCATTATTCAATACATTTATTATTGCCTATCATAAAATATAGTATTTTTTGTTAAATAATGGAAAGAAAATTATATTCCACAATTAAATATAAATCTTATAATAATAATAATTAAAAAAAAAAAAAAAAAACTACACTGTCAGTTGCATTTTCCTAGTTTAATTACAGTGAGGAAAGAACACATAATACCATCCTCTTGGGAGAGAAGAGTACTGTCTGTAGTCTGTAGCTTAATTAGAAGCCTGAATATGCCTGAAAAATCTATTGGAAACGAGAGATGCAGCAAAAACACCCGGTTTAATCTGTGACAAGCTTCTGGTACAAAGCTATCTTCTTTAATGCAGGTGTTGATATATATATATATATTTATATGTTACTTTTTCAGTTGTAACGGCGAGTTTAGACCCTCTTGAGACGACAACGGTTGCATGACGTGATGCCTCTTTGAAGAAAATGAGAGCGTTGGCGCCTTTCGGAAAGACGGTCTTTTTTTCATGCGCGAGAGAGTTTTTTCCGTGTAGTGCGATTTGAGCACGGGCAGGGCCCTCTCCTTGAACTTGATGATCGTGAAAAACAGCAGCCTATAAGCCACAAGAATCGAGGCGACGGCAGCCAGGTCCCACCACTTGGAATGGTTTAGTGAGATGCCTATAATCGAGGTCAACACATTTTCTCCCTTCAGTCTCGGCTGCCCCAGCAGTGGCGAGTCGAATTCCATCCCCAGCATGTCGTTTTTGTACGCGCCCTGTGTTCATCAAGAGTCAAATTAAGATTGTGTTGTAAAATTAAGACGTGAGGCTAATTTTTTAACTTGTACCTGCAATGCCCATGACATGTAGTTAACGTACGAAACCGGATATTTCCAGAAAATGTTCGGGAGGTCCGGTTGGAGCCGGAAAAAACCAGCAGTCGCCATCATAATACCCTGTATGAACATTCGTCGTGAGTGTTGAAGTTTTCTTTTTTATTATTATTATTATTATTATTATTATTATTATTATTGTTACTGTTTTTAATTTTAAAACATTGGGCGGGACTCGTGAGGGAACTTACGATGATACCGGCCCCAACCACGACACCCATCATGAAATTGGGGACGACAGCGGCCACTACCATCATGCAGCTCTCGACCACAGCTATGGACAACAATAAGTCGAGCACGGCATACGCGTAGTGTGAAAAACCCGGGTGATATCCCACCGTGAAATAAATGATGGACGACGAGCTCAATGATATTGCCACAACGTAAGGAAATGACGAGACGAAATTTGAAACCACGTACACCCCGACACCATAGTGCCCGTTGAGCCATTCCTTGTGAAACACCTTGACACACATAATAAAATATTAAAAAAATTAAAAAGATTATTGTTGATGTATAAATTGTGTTTTTCCAAGCTTACCTTCATTTCTTCAATGAAGGATGGGAAGCCACCGATGGTCATGAAGGTCATGAAGCCAGATACGAAGCCTCCACAGGCTCCCCTGGCTAGGATTGCATGGGAATTGGTGCCCACGTTATGGAAAATCGAGCTGACACAAACGGACACCAAGATGAAGACTATGATTCTCAGCCAGTAGTAACCAAAGTCCCTCGTCATGTTTTTGAACGATCGTCTCGTCAGAGTCGAGAGTTGCATTGCCCATGTGGCCTGGCTCCCGCTGATATCCTCATAGACGAACCTGCCCCCCTGCGGTACATTTCTCTCGTTAGATATGGGATTTCGAGAGGATTTTCATGAGCAGAGCAGACATTTATCAACACATGAAGCAGTAGAAAGAACCCAAGAAGTATCACTTCTTGAATGTGTATATATTAATAAATTTCTCACATTAATTGAGAATTCTTTGATTCTAGCTTTCGCCCTTGCCGCGAACTTCGAGTTTTGATACTTCCGAATAAGCTTTGCTCTGATTTCTCCGGTTGCCAAATCCATCAGTGGGCCTGCGGTAAACTTTATATCCTGGAACAACAATTATAACGAATCGGGTACATATCAACCTTCACTCTTACACTGCAAACAGAGTACACAAGAAATTAAAAGTTCCTTTATATAGTCTACTCACTTTCATCCTTTGCGAACCCGTCAGAGCCTCATTCATATCCTGCAACAATGATCAAATATCACGTATAATCCGTCACACAGCAAACAGAATACATACTAAAGAGTTCAAATAATAAAGCTCACTCTCAATATTCTTTGGGAGCCGATCAAAGTATTGGCGACATCGTCGAAATCCGAGTTAACACAACGAAGAAAATGATCCGACGGGTTCCTTTTCTGCGGGCACGGGAATCCCGCATCTGCAAAGAACTGTAAATATATATATAATTTAGAAAAAAAAATATTAGGAGTAACTACCAAACGAACTGGTCAATATAATTCAAACCTCGATCGCGGAACAAGCCTCCCCGAAATAGATAGTCTCGCCGGACGACAAGAGCAGAAGGTCGTCAAAAAGGGCGAAAACCTCGCTGCTCGGCTGGTGAATGGAGGAGACAATGGTACGGCCCTTGCGCGCAATGTTTCGTAAGGCCTGCACGACGAAGAATGCCGATGCGCTGTCGAGCCCGCTAGTCGGCTCGTCCAAGAACAGCAGGCTAGGATGTGTTATGATCTCCAGCGCGATGCTTAGCCTTTTCTTTTCGCCGCCGCTTATGCCCCTCAGGTGCCAGTTGCCAATGACAAGGTCCCCGCACTCCTGGAGGCCCATTTCGATAATTGTGCTCTCGACACACTCAGCTAGCTCGGCTCTCGTCGTGTAGCTCGGGAGCCGTAGGGATGCGGAGTAAGCGATCGTCTCCCGGACGGTGAGCGTGCCCAGCATCACGTCCTCTTGGGTGACGTAAGCCTTGATAAATTTTAGTATCAGGTTTATTACCGATAGTAAGCAGTAGTGTTGTTAAATTAAACAAGCTTCGGCCGGGTCGGCTCGAGCCGAGCTCGAGCTCATTTAAAGTTCGATGGGTTAATGAGCCGAGCTCGAGTCGGCTCGTTAAGGCTCGAAAGTTGTATTTTTATATAATTTTTTATAGTTCGTCTCGTTAAAATTCGAGCTCGACTCGGCTTGTTAACAACTCTAGTAATTAGTCAAACACTAAATTCTGACCTAACGATTAGAACGTTATAATTACAGTCTCGTCACGATATGATTGCGTTCTCCTAATATTAATTGTTGGAAGTTTTAGTTTGATATATATGAAGTGTTAAATGCTGACATGACAATTTTTCATTGGAGTTTATATTTTTATATTTTAGAATGGTCCCGCACTTTAGCATTTTTCCTTAGTTTTTCAATAGAAATGTGTTATGCTAAAAACAACAAAAACAAAAATATGATATTTTAAAAATGGATTTAACCTCTAAATATCTAATTTAAAAAATACTGCTAAATTGCTAGTAATAAATTATATGATAGTTTATTACTATGAGAGATTCTACGGTCCCATTACAGAACCATTCTGTCGGAGCTTGTAACCGTTAGAACAACTATCCACGATGGTTACATGATGATTTAACGATTATAAATTTCGACAGAATTATTTCGTAAGGGGACTATAGCATTTCTCTATTACTATACATTCACTACTTTTTCCCTTCCTTTCTCTTTTATGAATAATAGAGAACTCGTGCTTACAACGATGCCATAGTGAAGCTTTCTTTTC